CTTATTTAATGTAAACTCCATAGTATCATTGAAATGATGCTAACCTGCAGCATATAATTCTTATTTAGAGCATGTTTGGGAGGGATTAAAATCCAATTAAAATTGAAAATATAGTTGTTATTGGGTCTCACTCGTCTAATAAAAGTCAACAATAACGATTAATTTTTCAATTTTAATCCGATTTTAATCTCTACCAAACACACTCTAACTAATGTGAATGATTTTTTATGATGACATCTAGACCAAACAACGCGATTATATAATTACAAACATGCCAAATGGGCGATTGCAAGTAATCGCAAACATCTATTGTATTTTTTTTTATGTATATTAAGAAGAGGAGTGTATTACATTGTTATGAAATCACTTGTAAAACGTGTATTACATATTTATTAGTGAAATAAGAAACACCTTATAAGATATGTAAAGATATTCTGTGATTTTTTTTATATGTTAATTGATTTTCTATAATTAAAATGGCAATTGCATATTGCCTTCTTGGAATAGATTTTACTTATAAAACTTAGCTTTTTTAAAAACAAAGAAATAATGCTGTCTAGTATAAATAGGAATGTCAATGTGACGTGTCAAAATAGTTGTTCTCGCTCCTTGCTTTGTCGAGTATTTTTATCTCCCCGCCTTGCCCCCATACACGATTGAGATGGGATCAGATGGGACGAGGAGTCAGGGACTTGTCCCTACACTGTTTATTATTTTTATTTTTTTAATGTCTTTAATTGGTGAATGTTACTACATTTTTCCAATATAAGAACAACACATATTTTCTTTAGAAATGATGATGATTAATTTCTTTGTGTCATAAAAAAACTTATTTTTTGAAATGAACTTAAAACGGCCGCGTAACGAGGTGGGAACCATGTTCCGTACTCATCCCTGCCATGCGGGGCAAAATTCTTATTCCGTGTACCTGATTAGGTGGAGAATCTTCGTCCGCTTTAATTCTTAAAAATAAATGATGATTAACATTGGTCTAAATGTATGTATGACTCATGTTTATAAACAATTATATAACTTTTTATCTACACATTTCGATGGAAATATAAAAACTTCGCACTTATTCGCCGTTCATTTTTATTTATTTATAATTCAAATTGTTTATAAAAACTTTTCAAACATACCAAATCAAATCATTTTTAAATCTTATTTTTTTTCTCAAATTCATTTTAACCACACTTTTGTGAGACTTACAATTATTATGAATTTTTTAATCACACATTTCATAATTAAAAATTACTAGAAATTTTATTTTTAACCAAATCAGGGACTATGAGTGTGTTTGGGAGAAATTTTTGTGGTATTTTAATCAAAATTATAGTCGTTAAAGTCAACCTATGGGCTCCACCTGTGAGAGGGAA